CTCATAAAGGCATTTTCAGACTTTTTTGTGATAATATCCCTGGGGCCCTGAGCAGAACAGTTCATCCCAAAAGCAGGGCTTGGTGAGATGCTGTTTTCTAAAGCAAAAGAGTGTGTGAGCTGTTGTCAGCCCTCATCGGTCACGGTGGACAGTCTGGACCAGATAATGGAAGCACCAACTTTAGCCAGTCTGGGCATCTCCAGGCTAACATCAAAACCACTGTAGAGAAAGGTGCCAGACATTGCTTTCTGCTGTGAATGGCTTCTTTTGACCTTTTAAGGTGAAACAGGATGATTTATATATGCAGGTCCCCTACGCCTTATTGTCAAGTTGCACCCCAGAGGAATGCAGGCAGCACTGCAAGAGGAAGAAAGGAAAAGCCATGTCTGCTGGCTAAACTCCATCCCCTCCTTTTCCCAAGCTCAGCACTAAATGATGCCACTGCCCAAGGCCCGGTCTCCCTGGAAGGTCTTCCTGGTACCTTGAGAGTCTTGCCACCCACCAAGAGGCAGTCACTTGACATGAACTCCAAATTAGCAAGACTGAATTTCTAGGTTACGTGCTATTTGATCTTTGCATGGAACCATTATGTTCCAAATTTTCCAGTAGAGCTCTCCTGTTGCATACTCAGTCCTACTGGTCCCATAAGTACACATGTGTTTGTCACACCTTAACCTGATTTAGGGCTAGAAAAAACAGACTCAACACATGCGTGGGCCAGTAGCGATCTTGTGTTCACAGAATGTTTGACAGCAGTTGCTTCACCAGGCTTATCTAGGGTCCCTTTTCCTTCACCAGCATGAGCAGCCAGCCCTGAAGAAGGCCCGGCGCTTTCTTATCAGCTGTGAGTGTGGCCTATCTGAGAACACTTGGGTGGAGAAATGTCGTGTATTTTCCAAATTAGAACTTGAGTTGGAGGAGCTGTTTCTGGGGCAGCTGTGAGCCAATCCCAAGAGGCTGTTAAACATCCAGACCCTGAGAGCCACACTCTACATGGCAGGGTGGAGAGGAAGAAGTCTGGCCACACGCCTTCACAAGCCAGCCTGGCTCTGCCACCCCAGGCGGGCCGCAAGGAAAACAGATGGAAGCGAGAGCCTTTCCTGGACTGGCCTTGGAAACATCTGGGCTCTCCTGGAAGCAGGGACTACACTAGACTCCCCCGCCTTCCCGGCAGATGCTGCAAGCACTTGTCCCTGCTTTATAGACTCAGGTCTGGAAGCCGAGAGCCGCAGTCTAAGGGTGTGGGGGGCCTTTTGCACAGTAGTGAAGCCACAGGCTAGGGGCCAGACCACTTGGCACTAAGCCCTGTGCTGCCACTTCCCAGCTGTGCGACCTTAAGCAGATCACTCCACCGCTCTGGACTCACTCTTCTCATCTGAAAAATATGGTTAGAAATAGTGCCTACTTCCTAGGGTTGGTGCCGGGAGGAGGTAGAATGGTCCAGTAGAGTGCTGTGGGCTGCTGTCGCCATGGCAAGTCTTCAGGACACGTTCATCAAGTTGGAGGGCTTTTGGTGTTCCAGGGCAGCCTCCCCACAGTGGCAGAATCCCCAGCCAGGCACTTCCTCAAGTCACTGCTTGGATACCTCTGAGGGTAAGAAACCTGCTCCCTCTTAAAGCACCCTACTCCACCTTCAGATAAGCCTGTTTCTCAGACCGATACATGTTTATCTGAAGTCTCTCCCAGACACTTCCCAGTTGGCCATGGTTCCATCCCTGTGGTCAAACAGAGCTCATCTAGCCCCTCTTCCTCAAATAGCCACTGAGATCCCGTGAAAACCACTGACATTACCCCCTGCCTGTGCCTTTTAACCATTCCACCAGTCCTGCCTTTTCCTGACAAAACACCTTCAATTTCTTCTAATGGTTACTGAATGATGTTGTTTCCAATGCCTTCATTTTTGTGGTTTCTGTCTCGGGAACGCACCCTGTGCTTACGAATGTGACCTGGCTCCATGTGCATGGAGTCCCTTCCACGTGCCTGAGACACAAAGATGAGAAGACATCATGAGGCTCAAGATGCTCTCAGCAAGGCAGGGAATGGCATTCTGGAGGGAGGAGGGGAGGTACCGCACGCACTGGGGTTGGAGGCACGAAGCCAGAGAACTGCAGGGTGTATTGCTCAAGCCTAAGGTATAAACTGGGAGTTATCTGAGATCAAACTGGGGAAGGAGGCAGGTGAATTTACCTGCAAATGACAAGGAGTCACTGGGTGACTTTCAGCTAGAGAGTGACACATTCCAGTGTGTACTTCAGGAAGAGCATTTTAAGTGCAGCTCAAAGACTGGGCAACACTGAAAGCAGGGAGACCAGTTGACCAAATGACGAGGACCAAGGGGCCAGAGAGGAGGAAAACGAGTCATGGGCAGAAAGGCTAACACTGGCTCTTCCTGTGGGGGGCAGGACAATGAGTGACTGCTTCCCTGTGTTCTATAATTTCTCTGTAATAAGTATTTTCTGTTTTCTCTATAATCAGCATATATTATTTATACAGTAAGAAAAATGTATTCATGTCTAAAGATACTAGGAAACCAAACCAGCAGGACTTGGTTACTGAGTGGAAGGAGGAGCCTAGGAAATGAGTTTTCTAGCCTGGGTGCTCAGGTGAGCGACGTGGCCCCAACCTGGGTGGGGATGTGAGAAAAAGGGCATTTGCAGGAATTCTTATGGCATTGCTGACAGCTCAAGTGACGCCTACAGGCTGCTTTCACTCCACTTGGCCTCTCTGCAGCCTATGCAGTGCCTCTGTCCCCTGCAGGCCCTGAAACTCACCTGTCCCTTAGATACCTACCTGGGAAGCAGATGTCCGTGCAGCAATGCTCACCAGCACTCCAGGACAGCAACAGCATTTATTTAGATGATAAGTTTTGTCACTCCTTCAGTAAATATTTACTGCATGCCCACATATCCTCAGCACCAAGCCAGGACTTAGTGATAAAATAGGGAGAACAGGCACAGTCCCTCCTCACAAAACTCAGCCGAATGTGAGAGACAGATATAAATGTGTTAAAATCCCGTTAAGGAACATAACATTTCAAATTGAGGTGCGCGCTCCAGAGGAAAGGAAATAGTTCCAAGAAGTTATAAAGGAAATATCTATGGTCTGGGAGTTGGGCGATGATCCCTGGGGAAAGAGATACTTGGGCCGAGCGTGAAGGATAAGTAGGAGGAAAGTGGGGAAAAGCATTCCAGGGTAAAGGGAACAGCATGTGTGGTGGCCCTGTGGTGAGAGGAACAGGAGCTTATTTGACTCTCTAAAAGAAGAGCTGTTTTACTGGAGTGGGTTGGGGAGAGGCAGTGGGTGGAGAGGTGAGTGGAGCCAGACCCTACAGGGCCCTTTAGGGCACAGTCAGGATCTTGATCTTCATCCTAAGAGCAGAGCAAGGTTCCAGCAGGCCTGAGGCAGCTTGCTGAGCAGCCCTCCAGCTGCGGCCTGGAGGGAAGCCTCCCAGTGAGTGTCCCTTTATGTCCCATACCCGCCATTCTCTTGCCATGGGAAGCTGTGGGACTCAGGCCTGCTGAGATGCCCCTCACGCCTGGGTAGCCCAGATTTGGGGTTCCCCCAACCTCCAGGAGCGCTTGGAACACATCCCCCACCCCACGCCCAGCAGATGCCCTGAAAGTCGCTTTGCAGTTCAGTTCTCAACTTTCTTTTCCGCGTACTCTAACACTAATGTGTGTACGACTTCCTAATTAATGGAATCATTTCCATCTGAAAACATCTTGTTCTAATGGGAGGCTGCAAGCGCTCTCATTAATTCACAGGTAAAATCATTCCAGCTTTTCGCTTCTTTTTTTTTTTTTTTTTTTAATCTTTTCAGCTTGGCTTAATAGCTGAGGAGAATTGTTCTAATCAGCCTTGTGAGAATCACACCGCCAGAATGAAAAGCACCAACAACGGTCTTGGGGTTTGGGGAGGGGGTGACCAGCCTTTGTCTACCCAGGGGCAAGGGCAATGTAAAAATGTGAGGGTGAGACGCCCTACACGTAGAAGATAAAGACACAAAAAGTGACCTGTGTGGTGTAACTAGGAGGGGGGTGGCCTGTCCTGTGTGTGTCAGCGGAGGGACTCGGTGACTTTCTGCACCACTGGCTCTGCTGGAGGGAAGGAGGAGCTGCCTCCGCCTTCTCACCTGGCTTGTGAAGACTCACTGCACTTGCCTGGGCAGGAATCTCACACGCGACTTTCTCAGGGTTTGGTGTTATCTGGGGGTGACTTGTTGGTAACCACCTTCTTGCCATTTGCAAATGATTTGCAGTGTCTGTTTAAATGAGCTGCATCCCTAGTGTGTTATTTCTGATGTAACCGAGCTTAGTAAGGCGGGGGGGCCTTCTCCCCATAGACCACAGTGCAAGCCCCAGACCTCACCACCAGCACCCATGTGCCCAGCCAGGCTCTTCCTTTACTCTTTTTTACCGAAGGATCTGGGTGTGTTTCAGAGTTTCTTTTCTTGTGGTACAAAGAACATAACAAAATTAATCGTTTTAACAATTTTCAAGTGTACGGCTCAATGGCACTAAGTCTATTCACATTGTTGTGCAACCATCGCCACCATGCAGCTCCGGAACTTCTTCCAGTCCCACCATGGGGAAAACCTAGAGGATAAATGAGTCCCTGCATGGCCGTCTTGAGTCCACCTGAGCTCTCACTGTCCTGAGATTCTGCTCTAGGAGAAAAAGATGCTCAGTTGTCTCTAAGATGGGGTATTACACAATTTGATAGTTATGGATGAAAACAACATGTTCTTCCCTTGGAAGTACAGCAGCTGCCAGTCCTTTGCTTTGGATGAGTCTCCAAGACAGATTTGGAGTGAGACCAACCTGGATTTAGACCCCTGCACCGTCAGTCCTTGGCGTGTGGCTCTGAGCCTCTGTCTTCTCATCTAAACAACAAAGGCTGGCAGATCCTCCCTTGCAGAGTTGTAGGAAGATTGCATGAGATCGTGTCAGCACGGCACCCACGGTGGTGCTGGGTTTTAGTGAGTGACTCTGTCCCCGCAGGTCTCCAGGTGGTTCTGAATTCTATCATCAAGGCCATGGTCCCCCTGCTGCACATCGCCCTGCTTGTGCTGTTTGTCATCATCATCTACGCCATCATCGGCCTGGAGCTCTTCATGGGGAAGATGCACAAGACCTGCTACAACCAGGAGGGCATAGCAGGTAAGAGGGGCAGGCAGCCACGCTCCCGAGGCCCTGCCTTCTATCGATCCCAGCACCATTCCCATTGCGGGCTACACCAATGTGACCAGCAGAGCCCAGGGAAGGCCCCCTCCGCTCACACACCTGCTGGGCCTGGGTAAGTGAGAGGCAGAGACCCATATCCTTTTTTTCTCAGTTCCAGTTTTTGTTTTAATCTCTGTTAAACCAGCCTAATGCAAACTACGTTCAGCATTTTTCAATAAGCGACACAATTTGGGAAACATTTGAATAATTTAGAACCTATCTTTTGTCAATCTGCCACTTTTCAAGCCAACTCTGAGTGTTTTAGGAATCAGAGCTGAGCTGGGGATGCTGGTCTCTGCTTCTTGGGCACTTCAGTGTGGCTGGCCATTGGGAGCCCTTTCAGGGAGCTGCTCAGCCCTAAGCAGCAGGCTCTTCCAGTACCGCTCTGAGATCTTTCTACCTTCGTGGTGCTGATTCTGGCCTCTCTGTAATTATTGTTTCTGCTTCTCCATTCACAGCTGATGCCCCAGTGCCCCTATCCCAGGTGGGAGAGGAGGGCAGGTGGGAATCACTCCCTTTGCCAGCAGCCAAACTTCCTTCCCTCCAGGAGAAGGCTTAACTCCACCCCATGACTCCCAGTCCCTTTCTTTTTGAGCCTTCCCACTTCACGGTCCTTCTATAAATCAATATATTTAACAGCAATGCTGGCTCATTAGGTACTTCCCTGCATGGCACTGGAGTTTTGGCTTGCAGGATATGCTGCAAGCTGCCACTAAAGCTACTAACATCACAGCTTGGCCTTTTAAAGAAACATTTAAACAGAAATTGACAAGGTTTTTAAACAGACATATAAAGCAGCTTAACACAAAGAACTTGTTGAAAAAATATCCCCCTCCCCAAAGGGGCTAGCTGTGTTAAATGTATAAGATGTTTTTTCATACAGCAGGATCCATCATCTTAGATTTTGGCATCTTGGTGGAGAAAGGGGAGCATCATCTGCTGGGAACAGTAAAGGATACCTAATTTTCTCCATCGACCCCACACCTTATTCCCACTCAGTGCCGGCATTCAGTTAAATGGGACCCCTCTGGCTTCGCTGGGGTGAGGAGGGATAGCTTCCAAACAAGAGGGAGTGAAATTTGTAGCAGAAACCAAAGTAGATTATTTTCTATGTATCATCTGGTTTGACTGGATGGATTAACTGTGTTTTTGTGAGGTTTCTAGTTTATTTCCACATTGCTACAGTCCTAAAAACAAAACAAAACAAAAAACCACATACACAAAACATACTCCTTTAGACGCAGAATCACACAAATGTTTTCACTTTTTTGATGGAAGTCTGTTTAACAGGAGACTTTTTTCACTCTAGAGAGAATTTCCAAATTACTTGGGTCATAATTGTATAAAATAAACTATCATGTTTTCAAAAATAGAATCCTTGTTAAATTGGAAAAAGCAGGTCTTGTGTGTAGCTAAAATTCTGAGATTTTTCAGCCTTGCTTCAAGAAATGCAACCCGTATGTGAATAATATTTTCCTTTTTAATTAAAATCCTTCCTTTTATTCAGGTTGCTTTGTAGCTAGCTCAGAACCAATAAATTTATATGAATTGTGTGGCTCTGTGAGAGCTCATTTTAAGACTCTGTAAGAGCTGACTGTGGTATGTCTAAAGCTGATGCAGTTGTATTAAAATTATCAATGACCCATTTGACCCAGACTCCTCAGAAAGTCACAAACATGTGTAGTCTCAAAGATTCCCCATCAGTTCAGCAGTGAATGATGGTGACGCCCTCAGCAACAAAATGTAGGAGAGCAAAATGGTGGAATTCAGCCATCGAGCCGAAGACAGCAGCCCCACTGTGCAATCAGATGTCTGTGTACCACAGAGCTAAGGAGGGCAGCTCCAAAATGCAGGTGATTTCCATCATCCTAATGGGAAAGCAGCCCAAGTGTGTTTTCTGACTGTGGTGGGATCCTGCAAGGGCCTTGAATATTGGTTGGAAGTCCTGGGCTTTGCTACCAGGCCTCAGTGACCCTGGATACTCTGAAAATGACAGGCATGGTAGACAAAGAAAGCATGACACAAAGAGGGAGCCATTCTCAAGGCCATAGTCTCAGGGCCCAGTGAAGAGGTCACCTCAAGTACTGAACCTATCATGGCCTCCCCTGTGTTTAGGACAAAGACAAGACTTGGCTTCCCGAATTGGAACGGCCAGTTTAGGATCACATTGTCCACCCTTGATAGTAAACCAGGAAAAGTGCCTGAGAAATTGCTCTGACCAAGAGACTCATCAGATTGTTTATGTGTTGAGTTTATCTTTGTCTGCAAGTTCAGAAGAGAAGTAGGCTTCTGTCACGAAAATGGCCATGAGTCACAGGGGCCAAGGTGTCAGAGGACAATGACAGAAGTGCTCCAGAGAGAGGGGCCCTGCCAGGCTCCTTGAGAAGGTGGCCTCACTCATTCGCCTGAGCCAGACTCCCTGCTGGGAAGCGGGGCCCAGGACACAGCTGCAGAAGCCTGTCCTCTCAACCTCTGCAATCAGAAGCTTGCCTTCCCTTCGTTCCCAAACCTGCCATCTGATCACAAGCCAGGACCCACTCTGTCACTCCCAGCACAGCACAATGCTGCTGCCATTGAGCCCTTGTCCATCCACATAGTCACCAGTGCAGACAAGGAGAGAAAATGTGCAAGAATCCGGACATATCCATGCAGCTGTGGAGTAGAAGACCAAATACTTGTAGGCTTTCAAATCAACCCCTAAGTGTTTTGGAGAGCTTCACATAAACTTTGGAATGGGTGGTTTAAATTTTTTCTTTCTTTTTTAAAAAACTTTCAGGTTTTGGATTGATTGAATTACCGTATTTTCTGAAAATTTAGATTACACAAAACTGCTTTGTGAGCCTTTGTTGTAATTTTTGATGAGATTTACATCAAATTATTTTTATGGTCTGATCATTATTTCACAAACTATGAATTTTATGTATCTCTAGATTTCAAAATACATTATGTTTTGAGGCGTGTTTCCAATAAAATCCACAAAGATAGCTCTGGAATTATCCGGGTGAACCATGTTCTGCCTCACGGCTGCCCTTCCAGAGAACAGTCCCTGGTGAAGATGGTCTCAGAAGAGGCAGTTTCCCTAATCCCTGAGACATCTGCAAGGCACCTTCTGAGCTCCTCAACAGACACATCACCATATGCCGACACCTTTTGTTTCTGGTTGTCCATCTGTTTGATGGTGCGCTGAGCCAGGTCACTCTGAATAGCTTCCCAAGCACAGTAATTACCCCCGAGACTGGCACAGAATTGGTTGGCTAAAACCTAGAAATGAAATCATCTTCATTCTATTCACTCCTTAAAGTTGAGTTTCAAAAAAGTAATTGATTTTTGTCGTTAGTGATTTCTCCTTGGAATCACTAACTGGAGCTCTCCCAAGATTTCATGTTTTTGTTGTTACTAACTGTGTTTCTAAAATCTCTCCTAATCTTCACCTCCATTATTTTACCAAAAACTTAATTTAGGCTTCCCAGAATGACTCTACCTCTCTTCATTTCTGTTTTAAAATGTAGAGCCAGCATTGCTTTGTTTCTTTCTCCAACCTTATGTTCCCACTTTCCTCCCTGGGACTTCATGACTCTGCAAAAGAAAACCAACACATTTTTACGTTTGAGCAAATTTCTCCTCACCCTAGAGTGTGTGTGGCTAGGACCTGCTAATTTGTATGTGTTCACATTTTTTCAAGTGTTCGCTTTAATGCTTTTTATAGATACCTATTTTTACCAGACCATCTTCTTAATTGTTCTCAAATCTTTTTTATTATTGTTCACATCAGATTTTAAATAGCAGAATGGCACTAGAGCCTTTAGATAATGTGTCTGAATCTCATCCCGTTCTCTCGTTAGTGAGATCACTTCCCCTTGGTGCCATTTTCTTTTTCACAGATATTAATAAAATCCCCAGAGATGTTTTCCTGCCTTGAGGACACTCAGAACTCCCTTTGGCAGCTTTCTCCTTTCCCTCTTTGTGATGTTTCAGGAATTGGGAGTGCAGGGAATGCTGTCAGATGGGCAGTCCCAATGTCAAGGTTAACTGCATCTTTATTCTGCTAAAAAAACAAAACATGAGAAAAAGATGCAAGCCTCTCCTTTACTTTTTCACCCTCTCTCTTTGTGCCATCTCTCCCATCATTCCAGCACTTTCATCACAGTGACTGAACACGTCTCTCTAGAAAGCTGTATCTAGAATGGGTGAGAACCCAACAGAATTAATGATCCACTTGGCTCATGGTTTTCTGGTCTCTCAGCTCTCAAATGTTTAGGCGCTTATTACCCACTTTTTCGTGTCTTATTTAGGCTTAAGATTTACATTTTAGTCTCCCCTTTTTTTGTAGCATCACACCCAAATCTCTAAAGATTTCCCATTTCTGAAAGTCACAAAAAGTTGTAATTAGAGGACTGCTTATTTCAGCTGCATTCATGGAACCCTCCTGGGAGCTGGCCCCTGAAATGAGGAAATGGCATGAACAGTGTCTCTCTGACAGTTCAGGGACCAGCAGTGCAGACCTTTGCACCTTGATCAACAAACACAGGACGCACACACAACTTTAAGCACCGGCCCAAGAATCCTCCAGGAAGCAGCATTATTCATAATAGCCCAAACCTGGAAACAGTCCAAACGTCCATCAGCTAGTGAATGGATAAACATATAATGAAAATACACTGCTCAGCGATAAAGAGGAACAGAGCCTACTGATATATGCAACAGCACGGATGAAACTCAAAACATTATGCTAAGTGAAAGAAGATGGACATAAAAAGTCTCATAGTGTGTGATTCCATTTATATGAAATTTTTAGAGGAGGCAAAGCAATGGAGACAGAAAGCAGATCAGGTTGCCGGGGGCTGGTCATGGGAGCAAGGATTGACTGCAAATAGGTGCAGGGGGTTTCAGGGAGTGGTGGGCGTGTTTTAAATGGATTGTAGTGATGGCTGCTTGACTATGTAAATTTACTAAAAATAATTAAGCTGTACGTTTACATTGATGAATTCTGAGGCATATAAATTTTAAGTCTATGAAACCAATGGGGTCAGTGGGAGAGAAAGAGAGGAGAGGAGAGGAAGGAGGAGGAGGAGGAGGAGGAAATGACAGAGGAGAAGGAAGAGGAAGTGGAATTGACAGAGAACAAGAAGGAGGAGGAGGAGGCCGCAAAGATGACCACGAAGGCAATGGTGACAATGAAGAGGAGGATGAAGAGGAGGAGCTGCCCCTGCTGCTGGGAAGACACAGTTGGGCACATGTTTTCAAGCAGACTCTATTCTCCTAAGAATTATCTCTTACTTAAGGATTCATATTTCTCTTCCTGTCTTCCTCCTGGGAGTGAACAGCTTCAAATTTAAAGCCACCAACTGAGAATCAGCCAGCTGACCAGTCATCTTCAATGCAGAGCCTATGTGCTATAGGCAAAGTAATCACACGTGTGATTGTTTTGATATATATAAAACAAGAAAACAATCCTGGGTAATCTGTTGCCTCTACATGAAGAACTATAAGCAAATTCTCTCTCTCTCTGGGAGCCTATTTTCATTGTTAGAGGCAATCATTTGTTTGCTGGAACTGAGGCCTCTTCCGTCTGTTTTTGTCATTACTTTGTCTAAAGACAGAACAATGTCTTTGATTGCACAGACTTTTGTAAATTCCACACCATTACCTTCCATAGCCAGAGCCAAGACTTTCTCAGTGTTTTCCCATAATGGAATTTCTTAGATCAGTCAGGTCTTGTTTAAATTTACCAAAAATCTCCACACTCAAAATATAAATCACATCTTCATTCATTAATTTGCTGGGAGCTATTTCCAGCACGTGGCATTAGTCCAACTGCTGCCTTTAGCCACAGACGTTGTGTTCTACTATTTCCTGACAAAGCCCCGTCCGTACTGAAGAAGCATGCTCCCTGTCACTCACCGCCGCTCTGTCTTAATTAGAGGTCAGAACATGATTCTTCTCTTCTGAAAGGTATTCATGCTGGAGAGCAAAGGGCAGAGCTGTGAGGTCCCACATGACATGCATGACAGTCAGTAGTGTGTCCTCCTAGGCTGTAATGAAAATGGCTGCAGGTCATCCCTCTCCCCTGTAGTCAGTCTATTTTCCATCTTTCACCTGTATTAGGCTTTATTGTAAAGTGACTTGCATCCCCGGCAATGTATCCTCTACTGTGTAATGGAGCCATATAGTTAGAAAGCACTGTTGGATGGGATTGGTTGGCTATCTATGTGAAGTAGCCATTGGATTGATACTGTCCTTATGCTAAATCCTGGTATTCCAGTAAATGTCTATAGAATTCTACTACCAAAAAAAAAAAAAAAAAGAAAGAAAGAAAAGAAAATATGGACTTCCTATCACTTTCTGGGTCAGCTTCCACTTGCAGTGGTGGCATCATCATTGTTTTTTGATTGGCCATTTGATTATGATGCTGACATATTGCAACACAGTGGCCCTACTGTCTTTGAAATCAATTACTGAGATTAAAATACAGCTTTTACAACAGTGAGTGGAAAGGACTGACCTTCTAAATTAGTGACAGCCTAAACGGAATGTCCACTTTCTTATCATGCTTAATCCACATCTAGGGGACCCGATGTAAACGTGTCTTGCACTATTGTTGTCGTGGTTGCTTTGCCCATCCCATCAACCTCATCCTGTCACTTTTCTCTCTGACTTCTTTCTCTGCCCACCTCTCTCCCTCTCTGTTGCTCCTGTCTCCTGTCTTCCTCTGCCCATTTGAGATGTTCCAGCAGAAGATGACCCTTCCCCTTGTGCGCTGGAAACAGGACATGGGCGGCAGTGTCAGAATGGCACGGTATGCAGGCCCGGCTGGGATGGGCCCAAGCACGGCATCACCAACTTTGACAACTTTGCCTTCGCCATGCTCACAGTGTTCCAGTGCATCACCATGGAGGGCTGGACGGACGTGCTGTACTGGGTACGTAGCAAGTGGGCAGTCAGAGGGCAGGGGCACAGAGGCCATGAGCCCTTCCCTGACACCTCCCTTTCCCCTCCTCCCCATGGTCAAGGGGTCACATACACATCTTGATAGAATGGTTGATGAAGAACTTCTTCGATTTCTTCTAGGTCTTGCCTGAGAAACAAGGCGTGAGCTTTTCACCCTAACAAGTCCCCTCCCCTACCTGCCAGCCTTAGGGAAAGGTTATTTTTCAGTGCATCCCACCACAGTGCAAAACCCTGGTGTGCAGGCATGGATGAGCTGGCCAAGCTGGCACAAGTGTTCCGTTCAACTCCTCCTCCCATGCGGAGTGCCTTCTGCCCTCATCCTTTTCTTGCCCCTTTCCTCAAAAGGGAGCTAGAAGGCAGAATTATGAATTCTTAGGGTGAAGAGAAAAAGTCAGTCCTGGTCTTCTGAAAAGAAATTATATAAAGAAACCATTTTTATTGAATTATGTAGCATTGTGACATGCTGTTCAATTTTTACTTTCTATTTTAATATTTAGAATAGACCACCACACAAATGCATTGGCAGCATTTTCACTATTGCCAAAACAGGCTGCTGGCCATGTGATGCCTATTTAGAAATACACTTTTTAAAATGTTTATTTTACTTTGAGTTCTAGGACAAATGTGCAGAACGTGCAGGTTTGTTACATAGGTATACATGTGCCATAGTGGTTTGCTGCCCCTATCCACCCCTCATTTAGGTTTTAAGCCCCACGTGCATTAAAAATAGAAATACCACTTCTCGAGAGCCACCCAATCAATAGTAAATCTTCATTTACCTTAAAGTTGCCCCTTTTATTATCCAGTAGCCAACACAACTTTGCCAGGCTTCGAGCCTCTAAAGTGCCAGATTTTTAAGCTGCCTACCCCGCAGGCAAATCCACACTCCGTATTTGAGCTGTCTCCATTCTGGCAAAGTCCATTATTAGGAAAAACTCCAGAAAATATATTCTTCAGAGTGTCTCCAACTTCAGCATGAGAAATTACTTGCCAGAATCCAGTGTTGTCCTCCAGAATTTGGGCGAATAAAGCATGCTGCCAGTCTTAAAAATACCATCTCCTTCAGAGTTTTGCAAATAGGCAAATTTATTTGGCCATCGTGAAAACAATCTAAGAGCCTGCTCAGGAAACAAGTCTACAAACCAAAGCAGGGAAGAGTGAATGGGGAGCGAATGCTTCCCATTGAGCAGAGCTGCCAGATCAAAAGGAAACCATGCCAGGAGAGGCGCTGACTTCTTCCTGAATCGAAAGGAAGAGTTTTGTAACTGTACAGATATGTGGTGCACAGTATTCTATCATATGATTTCTTTAAAAGCTCGATGTCCTATTGATTCAAAAATCCTCTTTCTGAGTTTTTATGTGATGGACAACGTGCCAAAACCCAGTGTTGCTCTGACATGTGTACCTCTCTCTGTAAGTGATGATTTGAAACTTGCCCAAGGACCTTGTACCCAGCAAATATTTCCTGAGTGTCCTTGCATGCCAGGGGTGCTCCTAGGCTCTGAGGATTTAGTCATAAACAAGATCCAGTCCAGTCCAAGTAGCTCAGTCAACTCAATTCTAAATCGAATTATGGCAATGTGGCCGGACCCGTGCCATGGCAAAGCTGCCGTGTTGTGACAAAAGTCACATCCCCTCTGCCTCATACTCAAATGAAATATTGGAAAACATTTCTCAGGTTCATGATCAATAAGAACTTTGTTTTGAATAATTTGTAAGACAGAGAGGAGATGAACTTATTACACTTAGGCAAATTTACAGCTAGTGCTCGACTTATGACCACGGTCGGGACCGCGGACCGTTGGTAACACGATTTGGTCGTAAGTTAAGTAGGCTATATGTACAGTTGAAATGGTGCACACGGAGATGGTAGCGCTGCCGGAAGCTGGTCCGCACTGTCATATGCCCAGCTGGGCAACGTTTGCACTGCCAGACGCGGAGCAGTCATGGCTAGCGATTGTGGTCATAAAGTCGAATGGTCGTAAGTTGCATAGGTGGTAAGTCGATCGATACCTGTATTTTGTTTAGCAAAGCAGACCAAATTCCCAATTGGCCCTAACTGGTCTTTCTTCCTCGTGTGGGTCCCTCTGACCAGCCACGGAAGGAAACATCCTTCAGCCAACAGGCAGTTTCTGCCTACAGGCCATAGAATAAATGATTGTGTGGGACTGTGCTTTGGGGCCTCATCCCATAAGCTTCAGATCCATGCCTTCCATGGCATCAAACGGAGGGCAAGTGGCAGAGGAGGGTGGGTGGAGGGCAGGAATAGATATGATTTCCTTTGCTGATGTATTTTTGTGTTCTTCCTTCACCACTCCCTTCTTCTCCCCCACTACAAGTCATTGATGCCCCACCAGCCAGATGTGACCCAAAGAAATACTGTCATAATGACAGCCGGAGCGGGGAAGCAGAAGCAGCAACAACTGCAGCCACCAATTTTCAGCAGCTGTGTTGTGCCTTCTCCCCTGGGGTGCGTGTGATAGAGCTCAGGCTGGGAATGGAAAGAGTGTCAGAGGTGAAGAAACAATCCCAGGCGCATGGGACATGCCTCTCTCTGATTTTCCCAGCACCTTCCTAAAACGTCCGTGTGTGTGTGCATCTGTTTGTGTGTGCACGCCTGCATGTGTGTATCCACACACGTGCACATACACACACCTAAAATTGAAACCTGGGTATTCATGATAGAAGCCCTTCCTAGCCCAGTGCTCCTGCTTTCAATTTCTCTAATTGCTTTGACCTTTCTATGGCCGTTTCTTCCTTCTTCCTCCCTCTCCCTCTTCCTTTCTCTCCGGCATCCCTCCTTCTTAGCCTCTAGGCCAGTATCTCTAAAGCACAGACTCTCAAATCACAGAATGTTTTAGCATCAAACATAAAGCTTTGTAAATATAAAAATACCCAAACCTCCCTCCAGGCCATTGAATTAGAAGCTCTGAAGTTGGAGCCCCACGATCTGCATTTTGAAAAAGCTCTCCAGGTGATTCTGATTTCCAGGCCAGAGTTTGAAAACGCTGCAGATGTAACCTATTGAACCTCATGGTGCTGGTATGATGCTGCTGGCTTTGAATTCATCTAGGGAGATAGTTTCCATGGGGAGGAAGGGGAAGTAAGGTCTTTAACTCAGAAAAATGAATTGTCCTTCAAGCACAAAGGGCAAGTCTAAAGGACTTGAGAAGGAGCAGTCAAGATTTTCAAGTATAGTAATGCACAGAAACCCCAGAGCGGCATTCATTCTAAATCACCAAACAGCTGGAAAAGAATAGGTCACTAAAGCATCAAAGAAGCGATTGGTCAGCCGCTTGAGATGGCCTGAGACAGAAGGGACACGGGAGGGCACCTAGCAGAGGGCAGTGCTTGCTTCCTGTTGTGGGTGTTACGGAGTCTCTTTCTCTTTTCCCCTAACACCCATTATTGCATTCCATTGTTACGATTTTGAAGAGTGGACTAAAAATAAAATCAGACTTGATCAAGTAACACCTGAGCATTGCTTCAGCTATGAAAGCCATTGACCATGCATTGCGTTGAGGCCCCAACAAGCCGAGCAATTTGCTGAAAACATTTCTTCTACTTAATATCCTGTTTGAGGAGTGTGCAGATGACACAGTAAGGAAGGGCGGGCACCAGGCATTTGGAAACTAAACAAAACTCGGGTTTGGGATGTGGTTTCCTTAGGAAATTACTTAAGCCAAAGGCTCATCATTTCTTCTCAGAATGTCCAAGCCTCTTAAAAACAAATGAGTAGGTGTGAGGAGTAGGATCAGATAAAAAGCACTGGCCTTCTTCAGAAGCGGTGAAGCACCAAGGAGGGAAGAACCTAGCGTGTAATGTTATCATTGGTTTCCATTCTTACTTACACGTGTTTTTTTGTTTTGTTTGTCTGTTTTTCTCAAAAATCTAAACATCCCTACTCTTGTGCATGTAATTCAAGCTGGCTTGTCTCCCATGGTCTACACATGTGCCTTCTCAAAGATGGAAGAGGTTGCTGAGTCAACCTCCTTTTTAGGACCTTGTCTGTAGGATTCATAGGCATGCTCTGAGAATTCAAATTGCTTTGAAACTCTGAGCATGACCTGTTTACACATTGCAGGCAATCACAACCAGGTGACAGAAACATCCATCAATTAAACATGTTTTCAGTGCTGACTTTGTATTCAGCACTTGAGACAAGCCCCCTCCTCATAGGAAACACAATGACATGGCCACTGATCTGGGGTTTGGGACACATGCAGAAGGTTACAGGTGGGAATGGTGGGAGGGGGGCAGCAGCTAGGCTAGGCATCACACTAGAGAACTGTTTCTAGCTCTTTAGGAATCTTGATGTCTGAATAATCTTGATGCTTCATCAGGAGCATTCTGTTGACTTCTGTCCACCCCGTGCCCTTCTGGGATCCCCAAGAACATTGCGCATTGTGAGCCACAGTAAAGAGCCTCTGGCCTGTGCTATCCGGAACCCATGTCCCTTCCCATCCTATTGGGGCCGCCCTCTTCCTGACACCACCCATTGCCCCTGCATTTATTTCTCCATGATCAGTTCTTCTACTGATGTTTTTTAAAGTTAAAAATTAAGCTTAAAAATAAGCTTATAAAAAATAATGAGAAATCATGTAAAAGAAAGATTCTTAGAGTCACAAATAGTGTCTTCTCTAGTATCTGGGATTTGATGTTTTGGTTTGGCCAACAGGAGACCCTTCGAAGAAAAGTCTACTGAGTTAACTTTTCATAAGTCACTTGTCAGCTCTGCTCTTCATCTTGCCATCCCACTACGTGTCTGGATGTGCAGAGAAGGTATTCCTCCTAAATTCACACACACACACACACACACACACACACACACACACACACAAGACAGCTATTAATCTGGTCTTTGTGCTGCTGAAATATCCCTTGTTTATGACAAAGGCCTTTTGCATCCAAGCAGGTTGAATTTGGGTGTTTTACCCTATTTTTTTCTACTGTATCTTCACAGAGCCACCTTCTTTCACTACAGAATATAGAGTTGCTGAAGGCTTCATAAAAGGTAGAGCTGAATTCTGCTGATGACCTAAGAGTCATTCTAAGTGAGGAGCAGAGAAACCCTCGAGTATCCTAGAAGCAGCCCCCAGGGCCCTTTCTCAGGCATCGGAGTAGAGGCCATGTTAGGACCTGCTCAGGATGGGTGGTGCCTGACTTTTCACCTGCTTCCGTGCCACCCACTCAGTGCACCTGTTGCCTAAAACAGAGAATCCCTGATCTAAACAGTAAACTGGCTGTTCAGAAGCATATCGAGGAAGAGAGTCAGCATCTTTCAAAGCCATTCTTTATTTATTTATTTATTAGGTTTCACTGTATTTATTTTGTTGGCATTAGATGAGTCCTTATGATTCTATAATTTAATTTATCAGACATTTCTTGAGCATTTGCTGTTTCCTGGGACAAGGGGTGTGGGAGCACAGAGAAGAATAAGGCCTACCCAGGCAGTTCAGGTCTAACGAAAGAGGTGTGGGCTGTGTGGAGGAATGCAGCTGAGCCATTCGGGGCAGTGCCCTCTGTGGGAGCAGGACAACCCTGAGGGGCACAGAGCACTCCAGGACTAAGTGGGGCTTTGCTGGACCAGGAGAGAAGGCTTTCTGCCTGGGGAGAGCAAACTTTGTCTCAGTTTGGGAGGCTGCAGAGACCTGGGTTTTAGATTCTCTTGACATTGCTATGCCTGTGAGCCAGCTGTCCTCTGCACAGGTCTTCAGATTGGGGGTCGCCACTCTAAGAGAGATCCCAACCTCACACATGATGTCAGTGCATAAGTCCGTCTGATTTCATGGATTTTTAAATATGGGGAGGAACTTCTTTTGTTGGCTCGCCTTGGTGCTTGGAGCTTATTGTTTTCTTCCTCCATGTAAACTAAGCTTTTACCTGGGCTCTGAGACACTCCTGGGTTTTCAGCACACAATAAGCAGGGGCAGGGGTGGGGAGGAGCCGGTCGGAGCCTGTTCTGCAGCTTCCTGCTCACTCGGTGCTCCAGTAGGGCAGCCACCTGCCCGTGTTCCAGCAAGCAAGGTGACATAGGCTATGAAAGCCGCAGGTTGATGGGGCTGTTGCCCTGAGCTGACGCGTTCACTGGCAGCAGCAGATCCCGTCCCCCAGTGACACTCCGTGTAAAGCACCGTGGCTTTCACAGATTTGCACCTCCTGCCTTTTGATGGCAGGTGTCAGCCTCTTTCTCCACATTTGCTGAAACTATTCAGTCTTTTTGGATCCACAGTGCCTGTGCCAAAAACCTTACGGGAAAGGTACACACAGCTTGAAAACCCATGGAAGGCTGCTGGGCTGGAGAGTGGCCTTGAGGAGACGGGCTAGGGAAGCTTATTCCCCTATTTATCTTTTTGAGGAAAGATAAAAGGTGGACTTGAGGGTTTGAGTCTGGGTTCCCTTCAAGGAATTAGATGCTGGTTTCTGAAGGGTCTCTGGGAGTTTTCATTCAATGCCCTCTCCCTTTGTAGTGAGGCTGTTTCAGCCAAGGCAGGGGCCGTCCTGCCAGTTCCTAGGCCTGGATCCCCTCAAGGCTACAGACAATGAACCAAGGAACATGACTTAATAGTTCTAGAAGACCTATCCTTTATTTCACCTCTAAATAAGGGTATCGGCAATCTGGGCCATTAAAAAAAAAAAGTCTGACTTTATTCTTTGTCTTCTTAATAGCTCCATTTCAGCTGCTTTAGGACATCAATTTCATGACTCCAGGCATCGCCCTACTTCAGAGCCACCCAGCTTTATGTGTTCTCTACTCAGCCAGCCCCCCAAAGTAGGTGGCCCAGAATACAGAGGAAAAAGTAAGAGGAAAATGAAAGGAGAACTTTCCTTTCAGACCAGAGCCAGGCAGACCAGAGAATCGCCTTCTGTGGCAGCCGAGCCACAGATGGTGGGGTTCTGAGGACCACCCTGGCCTCACCCTCTCCATCTCTCATCTGTTCTCCTGCCTCCTGCCTTCACCTGCTGTTCCCCATCTTGAACCTCTAAAAATCCAGCCCACAGCCCAGGAGGGTCCTCTGTGAGCTCACATTCTAGCATGGAAGTCAATTAGCAAATAATAAATGTAATAAATAGGTAACAATACAGTTATCAAATGGGAAGTGCTCTGGGAAAGCAGAGCAGACACAGGAAAATGCATGTGCTCAGTAAACCCATGTTCAATTGAATTTCACTATGGCATGGCCAAGTGGACACACATTGGGAATCTTACCTCCTCATGAATCTTACCTCCTCAGACACGATATTTGCACTATTCGCAATGACTATATTGGGTGAATTTTCCTACCCAAAATTTAGTAATATCAGATATATATCAATGAATCTGTAAGGAACATATTGGGATGTAACACTTCAAACCAGTCAGACTAGCCAGACCTCTCAGTACTTCTCAGTCTTTTATTTCTGGCAAGCAGAGAACATCATGTTTATCCAGCCTACTTAGTCAAATGCATGAGGCTGCTGAAGCTATGAAGCCCAAGGGCTGAGGGCATTAATATCCTAGCTGCCTGAACTCCTTTGAGGCCCCTGGGTGGGAATTGTGAGATTGTTATCAAACTTGAGATACCCAGAATCACCTGGGGAGGTTAATATGCAGACTGTGGACCACCCTGAGATGTTGGGGGAACGGAGCAGGAATCTGCTTTGTTAACAACTCTGCCAAATGTTTCTGATACTGGTGGCCCTGGGACCACACTCTGAGGATCACTGCTGTGCAACCTTGCAGAGGTACCTGGCGAGCCACAACACTTGTCTTGCTACATTTGAACTTGGGAGCTGTGACGAGAACAGTGCGATCAGTGGTGCTCAAGCGTGCGTCAGAATCACCTGTAAGGCCTGTGAAAACATGGGTTGCTGGGCCTCCCCCACAGTGTCAGGGTGAGGTCTAGGTATATGCATTTCTGAACAGGTTCCCAGATGACGCTGAGGCTGTTAGTCCGTGGACCACACTCTGAGATTCATTGATGTGAATCATTCAGGATGCTTGTGTGCTTTGGAAGTTTAGGTTTCTATGATCTAATTTCACAAGGGTAAAGTTGGGCTCATTTTTAAAAAGGTAGAATTTAACCCAGTTTAGTCAGAAAGCATCAGAAGAGATAGATTTGAGAAACTAAATCAGAATAAGTTTCCTCACCACTGGCTGGAGGGTGGATGTGAAGATAAATTGCAGATAAACAGCTGTTCAATTTATCTTCACATCCACCCTCCAGCCAGTGGTGAGGCTGATAAATGTTTAGTCATAGCTTCTTAGGAGCAACAGGTAGAGGAGGCTGATATACATTGTTTGCCTATCTCTGTGGTGTAAATATTTCCACCATGGTTAGTTTCAAGCTACCAGTGTGGTCACTGAACACGAAGCTGGGAAGAGATGTGCAACAGTGAGCTCCCCACAACAGCCAGGAGCCAGCTCTGGGCACCACTGCCTCCGACTGCCATAGGGGTTTGTGACTTTTCAGGGCATTCTCCACCATTCAGTAGTTACCGTCAGTTTCCATGTCAAGGACCATTTCCATCTAAGCTGTGGCTGCAGTCATAGGACCTTTCTCGGAATGCATAAACCAAAATGATTACCTCTCCCCACCAGTGACCCGCGGTGTATGTGAAGCACTGGGGTTTAGCCTCTAACTTCTGGGCTTGGCCTAGGGTCCAGGTGGCAAGCCCTTGAGGAAGGTTATCTTTCCTCACACATCCTCTAAGGTTTCAGTTCTCCAGGCCTGTCAGCAGGAGCTGCGCACTTCATACACGAAGGTCAGGAGCCTTCAGGTGCAACCAAAGGCTTAATGTCCATGCAAACCCAAGTGAGCTAAAACCATCCCATGCTGAAGAAAGTATTTTTTGAGGTGACCCATTTTCTCAGACAAGTGAATAGAAAACACTGGAGAAGTATTTGTTTTCCAGAAAATAACACAACAGAGAGACAGAGTGATTCCTCTTGAGGCAGAGCTGGCCGAGGTCCCCTTCGGTCACAGGAGATCCTTTGAACATGGGTGATGCCCTGGGTAACACGGATATCCTGGGGCACATGAACAAAGCCCACATTCAGCCCCATCTATCTCCTCCAGATCTGCTCACACCTCTGCCTGCCTCTTTGCTATAACCCAGTTCTGCTTCTTTCCTAACTTTCCTTCGTCTTTCCAGATGCAGGACGCTATGGGCTATGAGTTACCCTGGGTGTATTTTGTCAGTCTGGTCATCTTTGGATCCTTTTTCGTTCTAAATCTGGTTCTCGGTGTGTTGAGCGGGTAAGCTGACCGTTTCTATGTCCTCTCCACAACGCAGCCGAGCAAGGTCTCAGGTTCCACTCCATCCATGCCTGGGGTCCTCAGGGACGGGACCCTGACAGGCCCAGGAAAACCACAAAAATGTTTCTGTTCAACCACAAATTCTGACCCATTGGCTGGGTAGGCTGTTTGGCCTCTGATTTGCAGCTAGAGGGTCCCCGGGTCCCGGAGCTGCGTGGGTCAGTGTCCCGGGAGCCAGGGACCAATGCTGGCCGTGCTCGGTTGCTGAGTGTGCCTCACTAACTATCATTCCATTCTTCCAGGTCAATGATGCCGTAGGAAGGGACTGGCCCTGGATCTATTTTGTTACACTAATCATCATAGGGTCATTTTTTGTACTTAACTTGGTTCTCGGTGTGCTTAGCGGGTAAGCAGGACCAAGGAAAAAGGTCTTGATTTTTCCATTTATTTTTATTTCTTCTTTCTGCTATTCCTGGCTGCATTCTTTTTCTGACTCTGATGAACCTGGGATAGGGGTCAACACAGGAGCCTTGAAGTGAATGTCCTTGTCCTGGCTGGGTAAAGGATCAGATGTGCCTCTGGTCTTGGTGGTGAACAATGGAGGAGAGCTGGCTTCACCACAAAGGCTGGGTCCACCCAGCCCCTCCCAGCCTCAAGCAGCTGTCCAGGCAGGAAGGGCACTTCTCCTTGTGCCTTCATGGCCTCTGGTGAGCAGGCCTGGGGAAGAAAAGACTGGTTTAAAACATAATCAAACAAAGGCAGACTCAAAATCTAATTCTCTTCCATTTTAATTCATAGACTGAGCAGCGTATCTCCGAGTTTCCTTTTCTGAATGGAAAGGACCCTTAACTGTTTAAAGCCATAGATTATTTAAGAATAAAGGAGATGGGATGGACTTTCCTCTAATTTTATCTAGTTGGCTGCAAGTATCATATCTACCTAACTTCAGCCCTTGCTCAGATGAAGTTAGAAGTGGTAGAAGTAGCCGGGCGTGGTAGTGCACACCTGTAGTGCCAGCTACCCAAAAGGCTGAGGCAGGAGGGTCGCTTGAGCCCAGGAGTTCAAGGCTGCAGTCAGCTTTGCTCACGCCACTGCACTGCAGCCTGGACAACATAGTGAGACTCTATGGTAGGAGTAGCATGTGGTGGGAAGGCCAAGGAGCCCTGAGGATGGCCACCTTTTCACCATGGAAATACGTGGGATATTTCCTTAGCCCACCGTCTTCTTCAGAAGTCCACACCAGCCATGCCAAGGCCTAACACCTAAATGCTCCTGGTGACCTGCTCATGGGTGACCCACTCTGCTGCCTTTGTCACGTGGGGGAGGGGGCAATCTGCTTCTACTCTGCTTGAGACCAGTCAGCTGCTTTGCAGAGTCTTTCTTAGATGTCTAGAGATGTTAATGCTGGCAGAAATTTAGGTGTAAAGAGAAAGATTGCTCCCCACTATCCCCCAGTGCATAAACTGGGAGCGGCTACTCTCACCTCCTGCAGCTGCCCTAATGCAGTGCAGAGCAGTGGGCTTGGCCTTCAGAGCTGCATGGAGGAAAGGATCTCCTCCCAGCCCTTCCACCTCCCATGGAGAATGGCCCGATAGAGACCTTGATGACAAAATGCCTTTTGCCAAGGTGAAGCCACACGGGAGACTAGTGCCTCCAATGAGGGATAACAATGATGAGCAGCACAACATAAGTCACTGATTCATTGCCTGGAAAGTAGAGAGGTGTTCAGTTTTATGTTCAAACACAAGAAAATGTCCCTGTGTTTACATGTGAATCTTCAAGGAAAGGATTGAAAAAGTCAATCTCATCACCGTGAATCAAAGCAGAAATTGTGGCATCCCAGCTCTGCCCTTGCTGGGTGCATGATGTTGGGTGGTTTCACCGTTTTAAATCTTAGTTTCCCCAACTGAAAAAGTGAAGATGATAATTCCAATACCTAGGTGGCTGTGGTGATACAATACGATCACTTTCAGAATACTTAACACAGTGGCATATAATAAGTGCCCGATAATGGTGCTGTCATTACAACGATTATTATTTACTGGTGCCTGTAATAACTGGAATTGCAGAATCATCAAATGTTAGAAGTTCTCCAGCCTTTCCTCTTAAAGATGAGGAATTCGGCCAGGCACGGTGGCTCACGCCTGTAATCCCAGAACTTTCGGAGGCTGGGGCAGGCGGATCACCTGATGTCAGGAATTCAAGACCAGCCTGACCAAAGTGGAGGAACCCCGTCTACTAAAAATATATAATTAGCCAGATGTAGTAGCACATGCCTGTAATCCCAGCTATTCGGGAGGCTGAGGCAGAAGGATTGCTTGAACCCAGGAGGAAGAGGTTGCAGTGAGCCGAGATCGTGCCATTGCACTCTAGCCTGGGCAACAAGAGTGAAACTCTATTTCAAAAAAAAAAAAAAAAAAAAATGACGAGGAACACAAGCCCAAAGATGTTAAGTGACTCATACAACGCCGCTTCCCTCGTAAGTAACAGAACCAGAGCCAGCACTCTGGCACTGCCTCCCATAAGATCTATGATGAATGAGCTTGAACTGCAACACAAGCCACAGCTCAAGACTTAAAGGAATGTAACTCCACTTTCTTCTCCTAGAGATTGGAAACCAAATCTGAGCAAGTAACCCCCTGCCAGGGGCCTGAAGTGGAGAATGAGGGCTGGACCCTGAGCTGAGCTCCCTGAGCTGAGCTCCCCGAGCTGAGCTCCCACCCACAGTCATTCTCGGCCCCCCAGAGGAGTAATCTTCCTGGTGGAATCAAAGCAGCGACGTCAAATGACAGAACCTGCTGATGTTGGAGAAGGAGCCACTTCGAAGGCCATATCTTGGCTGATTCAGCCTAAATGTGCTAGGGTGTGTTTAGACACCTCACCCCAAACCTGGAGTTTAATAATACTCCGAAATGTCGGTTGACTCAGAACAAGGAGAGTAAGGCTATTGAACCTCAGAACCTAGGAGTCTTTGAGTCTGTACGCTGGTCTTTCCTGGAGACCTTCCCCAGCCTCTCTTTCCTGGCCTGTTCTAAAAGCTGCCATCTGCTCCTTGCAGCTCCTGAATCACTGATAGAACATCTGCCAAGGTTTCCTTGGCCAGGGGTCTGCCCTGAAAAGCAAAGAGGTATGTGTGGGTGAGCACCTCCCCTTTCTGATTTAAGGAGGCCTCTCATTCTGTGTCAAGGGCTGGCCACTCTGAATTGCTTGCCCCTACCCCATGCAGTGACAAAGCTGGAATCGGGCTTCTGTTGGCTGACCACTCAGAGGCAACGGTTTCCAGTCAGTGTCTTGATTAGCCAGGATGAAAGAATAGTCACCCACTCACTGGGTACAGATGTAGTCCACCATGCAGTCAAACACCCACTTATTCATCAGACTTCTGGTTAAACTTCCAGAAGCATTCAAAAAGGTCTCACAGCTCCATGAAATTGACTGTCACAATGATAGCATTAACAGTCACTAGCATGCTCTGTGCTCCTCCAAGTATTGACTACATTAGCTCAGTTAATGCTCATGGCAACTCTGTGAGCTGGTGCTACTCCTGCGGCCATTCTACAGAGAAGGAAAGTGAGGCTTAGCGGCCAAAACGACCTCAATTCCAGCAGGTGAAAAATGCTGGATGCACAGTTAAGCCCAAGTGATGTGAATCCATCACCTCTATCCCTGACCTCTGTGGTGCACTCTCCCCAAACCCATGTGATGGGTGAATCCCATGTTTTTAAATGACAGGCAAGAAGTGGGGTGGGGAAGAGCAGAAGCTGCAGTAGGAAGGGTGAGAGGAGCAAGCAGACAGGCACAGAAGCAACCAGCGCAGGCTGCGGGAAACAGCCAGCGGGCACATAGAATCCCAGCAGGAAGCTGCGAAGGCACTGCCCAGAGGCCTGCGGCAGCGCAGGGCTCTTTAGCAGAGGGGCTGGCAGCCCTGCAGATCTTCATGGCCCTTGAGAGACAGCAAAGATGCTGAGTAGCACTGCAGTCTTGGAGCCTCCTGTGACTGAGAGAAGTGGGTGTGAAACCCTATATTTCAACAATTAAGGAGACTATGATTTTATCTTCTAGCACAGTAGTTCGCCCTCATAAATTATGTCCCTCAGCCACTAAGAAAAGGTTGAATGGTGCTTGGTGTGTTCTGCTCATGAAGGTAGAGAAGACGACTCCATAAAGCTTCTCTGTAATGCGGTAGAAGCCTTTGGACACTGGACTCTAGTTAGTTTTTGGTTTTTAGCAACTGCAGACAGAGGGCTTGGGAAGTGCGCCTCCAGTTGGCAAGAGGCCCACCATCTCTTACAAAGATCGTCATTCCATCCCTCTTCCCATTGGGAGATAAGCCTGTCTTGTCCCCAAAAAAGCAGAAGACCCAGGAAGGAGGTAGGCATTTTACGGCCAGGAAGTATCACTGGACCATGGCCCCACAGTTAAGACACAATATCCAGGCCCAGAAGAAAGCAATGAAAGGGCAGGACACACGTGCTTTGTGAATGGGAGCAGAAGAGACGGCCCAACATACACAGTCAGTGCCCCTTATTCATGATGGTTACATTCCATAAAGTCACCACGAACATGATCTACAGAACCCTCAGACGTTGGTCCTAGAGGAACTATAGGGTTATTTCCTGTGAGCCTCTGGTCACATTTTGTCAACCAATCAATACATAACCTTGTTTTAAGTGAGCTTCTATTTAAAGATGCCTTATTTGATATATATGATTGATTCATTAACATTAAACTCATTAAACCAGCACTGTAACTCGCACCTGCATGAAGCTTATTTAATCCATGTTTTCTCTGTGCCGCACATCACAGCCTTCTTACACATAGTGACACTGGGCAGCACTTGAGCATTACGTTTGGGGCCATTTTAAACAGCAAAATCACCGACAAAAAGCACAAAAATGTGAAAACATGGCACTAAGTGGATGGTGAAAAGGACACCTCACAGTATGAAAGCTGAATTGGGAAGGCAGAACTCTACATGCCGCCTTGTGTGACCTCGGTGGGAACACGTAGCGTTTTTGTTATCTGCACACGGCCGCATATGACTAAAACTGCCACAAGTATTGATTCTGGAGTTACAAACAAATTTTGGTGAGCAGGTGCATTTGTAGATGTGGGATCCACAAATGAGGAGCCTGGGCGGTATCAATGATCAAAGGGGCTAGCGCTCTTCGGGCTGTTGTTGGATTCCACATGCACCGTCCTTACATCACTGAGCCCTGGCCCCTGGCTCCCCACACCACCCCTCATTTTTCATGTTGGCCGTGGCTGGCGAGAGATGCAGTCCTGCCTCATGACAAATCCCACAGCTGTGACTGATTGTCTGGCCAGCTGCAGTCCCTGGGCCCGGTGTAGCCTGTCAGGCTGGGGCTCCATGTCTTCATTAACTCAGTCCCCAGAGCAGGCACATGGCTGGCATCCAGGCAAGGAGATAAAGAGAGCCAGGCACCACCACCAGCAGGTCCCTTACCGCATGGGGACTGCCAAGGGAAACCTTGGCTCACCTTCCATCCAGCCTCAAGCCCGGCTGTGCCTCACACTCCATGGGAGACAGCCATGCTCCAGATCTGACTAAAGCCCTTCTCCATCCCGCTTACACTCCCAAAACCCATCCTTCCTCTACAAGGACAGTTGTCTTCAGGCCAGGCAGAATCACTAGTGTTCTGTTTCTCCCGCTGGATGTTTATCTTAGATTCCCAGAGGCCTTGGGGTACAGACCGTGAACTTCATTCCATGGGGCCGATGCTGTTGAACAGGACTGGGCCGATTGTCCCTCCTCCAGTTGAGCCCCAGTCCTATTCTCCCAACCCCAAAAGAAGGATGGGCCCATGTTTTGTAACCAGAACTTGATCCTCTGCAAAATCACTCAGAAGAGCTGAAGTGAGCCCTTACAAGGGACTGTGAAGCTCATTCAACCCCTTGCAACTCCAGACCAAACCCACCCCAGAGGGGTGCAAATGGAGGTAGGCAGAAAGACAGTCAAGAGAGGAGGCCTTGAAACAGTTTTTGATTTGCATAGGGAGAAAAATGCTATATGAAGTTACTGTCCCCAGGACCAAGACTAAGTCCCTGAAGGCTTAACCAGGTATAAGGGATGAGAAGTTAGGGGAAGAGAGGGTGGCATCTCTCTACAGTCATCCCCAACATGGAAGGAGCAAAGCTTCCCTCTCCATTGTGAGCTGTAAATCTGTCACCTTTTCCCTAGCATAAAACTCCTTGGGAAGGAAATGAAGATACCCGCTAGTTGGCAGAAAGCCCGAGAAATAGCAAGTTCAATCCAATTAGAATTGGATTCAATCAAATTTAAGAAGAAAATTCAATCCAAACCAGAGCATCACTAAGGCTGCAGTTGAGGAGAACTGGTTAGCTTGAGAGCCCCCACATTCTCCCAATTAAAAATTTCCCTAGACCCCAGCCCAGCCCTAACCCTGTCTCACCATAAAGATGGTACATGCTAAAATCAGTGCTCTCCCAAGTGGCATAGGCCAAATGCAAGCACTAGGCAGTGCATGTGCTGGTGGAGCTGCCTCACGTGATGGTAGACTCAGCAGCAGAGCCCTTTGTCCTCTTATGGTTTGTGGTGCTGTCCCTCCTTCCATGGTGCCTTTCCTAGAGTGTGGCTTGAGCCAAAAATTCTCTAAGAGGCCTCTTGCCCTGAACTACACCTTTACTGTTGAGAGAGGAAGGCATCGTGGCTCCAAGAATTAACCAAGATGTCCTGTGCATGTACACACACACACACATGCATGTACCACCAAGGGCCTCATTCTCCAAAGACTGCATACACACACACACACACACACACACA